TCACGTATTCTGTAGTTTTGATTATTTATCTCCAAGTAAACCGAACTGAACCATCCTTTAAAGTAGAACCGTGTTCTTTACTTGCCAGAAACCCCATTATTATGCAGCAAGTAATTAATTTCACGATTCCTAATGCTTTCGTAGTTGATATTGTTATGGTGAGGTTGTTTTCGGACCAGAAATGTAAACTGTATAGTCTATACCCATCTGGCTGTCCCTCACATACGTTTTTCACAGTTCAGAACTACATTTGTTTGCATCACCATTATGTTTTCTCCGCATCAATCAGTGTAGGTTACCAACCTACACTGCAGCATACTATTCGGGAATACCAGTCCTTTCGATGGGCATAGAACTGTATAAGTTCCAAACGATTTTCCACAGTCGAACAACCCTGGTATATCTTCAGTAACTATCTTAAAAATTTTCCATCGAGAAAAAGAAGTTCATTAGTAAATAAGTTAGGGTGATAAATTCCTGAACTTATCTGTTGCATGGCAACTGCCTTCTTAAATATTTTACGCCATGGTTCTAAAATCTGGAGTATAAGTAAACAGATAATCTGTTCAAAAAGTATGAACTACCTCGAAGAATCGATAAATGCAGTCAGAGAAGCAATGTACATGATGTGAATAGTCGGTCTAGAACACAGCCGATTAAAATTCTTTATTATGAAGGCACCCCAAGTTCTCATCGCCTCCAATCGTGTCAACTGTCAGAAGTAGAAATAAGAAATTTTGACAGGGAACCAGTGATTTGCTGAAAGTTTGGGACAGTTTGGAATTTAGGTGGCTTCAAAATTATACGACAATAGGTAACTGCTTCTATAATTAGTTACAGTTCATATTTATATGATATACCCATGTGTGCCGGTGCAATTTTACATTAGTTTTCAGGAGAACCGGATACCACCCAGACTTTCACGTGACAACCCAAACAGTACAGCCCAATTCCGTTCAACAGGAGAGCAAAACCACCTAGGCTTAGCCTGAGCAGTCTGTTTCTATATATCCTACACCATAAAGATGCTTCAGGTATTCGGATTTTGACAATGCCATAACCAGTTACTACTTACTTACTTACGCCAGTTACCCCTCCTCGAGGAGCATAGGGCGCTCACCAGCATTCTCCATCCAACTCTGTCCTCGACCTTCCTTTCCAGTCCTTTCCAGTTGCTATTCATCCTTTTCATATCTGCTTCTTTTTCCCGACGTAATGTGTTCTTTGGCCTTCCTCTTTTCCGCTTCCCTTCCGGATTCCAAGTTACGGATTGCCTTGAAATGCACAATAGTGATTTCCTTAATGTATGTCCGATCCACTTCCAACGTCTTTTCCCAATTTCCTCTTCAGCTGGAAGCTGGTTTGTCCTCTCCCATAGAACGCTGTTGCTGATAGTATCCGGCCAATGGATGTTGAGTATTTCGCGTAGACAACTGTTTATAAATACTTGTACCTTCCTGATGATGGCCGTAGTAGTTCTCCACGTTTCAGCTCTGTACAGTAGGACTGCCTTGACGTTCGTATTGAAAACTCTCACTTTGATATTGGTTGACAGGTGTTTTGAGTTCCACGTGTTCTTCAACTGTAGAAGTGCTGTCCCTGCTTTGCAAATCCTCGCCTTTACCTCTGCATCCGATCCGCCTTGTTTATCAATGATGCTTCCCAGGTATGTGAATGTTTCCACCTCTTCCAGAGTTTCGCCATCAAGTGTGATTGGGTTGGTGTTCTCCGTGTTGTATTTGAGAATCTTGCTTTTTCCTTTGTGAATGTGGAGGCCTATCGATGCAGAGGCTGCTGCTACATTTGCTGTCTTCGTCTGCATTTGTTCGTGTGTATGAGAGAGGAGGGCTAGGTCATCTGCGAAGTCCAATTCATCTAATTGATTCTGAGAAGTCCAATGTATTCCATATTTTCCCTCCGATGTCGAAGTCTTCATGATCCAGTCAATCACCAGAAGGAAGAGGAAAGGGGAAAATATACAGCCTTGTCTGACTCCAGTCCTTACTGGAAATGAATTTGTCAGCTGTCCTCCATGCACCACTTTGCACTGTAGTCCATCGTATCAGTTTTGGATAATGTTGACAATCTTTTCAGAAACTCCATAGTGTCGAAGAAGTTTCCATAATGTTCTCCTGTCCACGCTGTCAAACGCCTTCTCATAGTCAATGAAGTTGATGTATAGTGATGAGTTCCACTCAACTGATTGTTCAACGATGATCCGTAGTGTCGCAATCTGGTCTGTACACGACCGATCCTTACGGAATCCAGCCTGATGATCTCGAGGTCCAATGTCTACTGCGTCTTTCATCCTGCCCAGCAACACCCTGTTGAAAACTTTTCCTGGTACTGATAACAAACTGATGCCTCTGTAGTTCTCACATTGGCTCAGATCTCCTTTCTTTGGTATCTTGATGAGGTATCCTTCTTTCCAGTCCATTGGCACCTGTTCCTCTTCCCAAATCTTTTTGAATAGAAGGCGAAGCATGTTTGCATTTATTTCAATGTCTGACTTCAATGCCTCAGCTGGTATATTGTCAGGTCCTGCCGCCTTCCCACTTTTGATTCGTCCGATGGGCATCTTGACTTCTTCGATCGTTGGTGGAGTGACATCTATCGGAAGGTCAGTGTGGGCTGCTTCGATGTCCGGTGGATTCAATGGGACTGGTCTATTCAGCAGTTCCTCGAAGTATTCTGCCCATCTTTTCCTCTGTTCTTGAATCTCAGTGATTGTCTTTTCTTCTTTGTCCTTGACTGGTCTCTCTTGTTTACTATATTTACCCGCTAGTTTCTTCGTTATGATCATGCTTTTCTTCACTTCCCTGTTTGTTTCTTCGTAGTCTGCTTGTGCTTTGACTTTCTCTGCTCGTGTTCGGCTGTTGTTAATTGCTAGTTTCTTGTCCTTCCTTTCTTGAATTTTGTCCAGGGTTCCCATAGAGATCCATTCCTTGTGATGATGCTTCTTAGGACCAAGAACCTGCTGACACGTTGAAGTTAGTGCTTCTTTTATACCTTTTCAGTTGTCCTCCAAAGTAGTTTCTTGTTCTTTCAGTAGATCCTGTAGAGCCTGGAACCTGTTGTTGAGAGTTATCTTGAATTCAGGGAGCTTGTCAGTATCTCGAAGAAAGGCTGTATTGAACCTTTCTAGTGCTGTTTGTCCATTTGTCCAGTGTTTCTTTAGATTCAGTCTCATCTTGGCCACAACCAGGTGGTGATCTGAAGCTATGTCAGCTCCTCTCCGGGTTCTCACATCTTCCATTGACTTTCGGAATTTTTTGTTGATACATATGTGATCTATCTGGTTCTCTGTGGTGTGGTCCGATGAGATCCATGTAGCTTTGTGTATGCGTTTGTGTGGAAATATTGTGCCGCCTATAACCAATTTGATGAATGTACATAGATTTGTAAGTCTCTCACCATTTTCATTTCTCTCTCCTAGTCCATGTCGTCCAATTATAACTTCATATCCTGTGTTGTCCACTCCAACTTTAGCATTTAGATCTCCCATCAGGATGGTGAGATCCTTTTTTGAGCACTTCGCTATAATTGATTGCAGCCTTTCATAGGACTGATCTTTATCGTCGTCGATGCTATCATTGGTGGGTGCATAAAATTGGATAACGTTCATTGTGATCCCTTCCTTCTTTGTTCTGAATGATGCTTTGATTATCCTGGGTTCATGAGATTCCCATCCTACAAGTGCATTTCTTGCTTCTCTGGACAATATTGGAGCAACTCCCTGAGTGTGTGGAGCATTTTTTCCTGTACTTAGCCTTTGTTGTCCAGCTTGTGTTCAATGGGTTTCGTTGATTCCAAGTACTGCCAATTTGTATCTCCTCATTTCCATTGCTATTTGACTGGTCTTTCCTGTCTCCCACATTGTCCTGACGTTCCATGTACCTATTAAAAGTGTTGCTCTGGTTGTTAGAAGATGCATCGGCCTCATGACTTCAGAAAAATTTCGGCTTTCATCATCAGACGTCATTATTCCTTCAACTCCCAGGGTAGAGTTTAAATGGTCTGAATTCATTTTTTGGTTAGCGTTTTTTTAGCGAGTTAGCTTCTCTACGGGATTGGGTCGCTAACCCCATGCCCAACCCTCCTCCTTTTTGTGGGCTTGGGACCGGCAGTAACTCTAGATGAGCTACAGGCGGAGTTCATAACCAGTTACATCTCTTATAATCGGAAAGTGCCAGGTTAGTCAAATAATAAGTCAGAGGCGAAGAAGTTCGAGGACGCATGTGATAGAACATCGATATATCGAGAAGTGACTAATCTAAGCTGTCTAGCAATTGGAGATATCAAGCACGGCGTACCCACCACTGATCGGATGCGGATGAGTGACCGAGCGCCTTCAGCTAGGTGAATCCAGTGAAGCTAATCTAGCCAACATCAAGAGCCAAAGACTTACGGAGCTATTCATTTTTAGGATATGTTTACCACTAAAACTATTATAATGGTCAGACCCCATACCTTAATGAGAACAGGGTAATGTAAGAACCTTCTGCAATCCTACTCTGTGGTAAAAATAGGGATCCTTTGTATAGTAACCGAAATTACTTACAAAGCAATGAAAATTTAAAAGCTATCTCACGTCAAAGAACCTCTGTTCTGTTTATTTAGAAATCTTATGTCGATTAAGCTTATTAAATTCATATCAGTAAAAGTAGGCTAAATCATCATTCATGTGTTGTTGAGCTGAGAATGAATTCATAGTTCCGCGAAGTTGATCGACCTCATACAAACTCACTATCAAAACCCTGAACTAGAACATCAAACCCAGCTTTGTGATTGCATTGTTCGAAAATTTGAAACATGATACATTCGTCACGAAGATAGTGCTGATCAGACAGTGGGATACAATAGACCACTTCCCTGTGACATATATCTGCTTGTAATTTATCCATATATTCCCTTGTTTCAATTATACGCTCATCAGGAGTGAATTTTTATTTATCACACTGCTATCCCATATGTGTTTAAATCTTTCACGAGGTGTACATAAGATAAATACAAGGCTATGAAATCGTAGCAACTGAATTGAGTAACCAGATCTCACACTGCAGCGTTGTATATGCTCAGTGATTAAATTATGGATCATTTGAATATTCCACGTGAAGAAAACTTTTTTTCTAAATTCGGGCAGTATGAATTCGAGAGAGCAAAGAAGCGTGAAGAACTTATGCAAGATTACTTGAAATTCAAGGAAAGAGAGGAAAAGAACTTCCATAATAGATTCTCCGATAAAAAGAAGAATTGTCACCGATCACAGGACTGTTCTGGATCTGTGAAGGTGGTCGACAGTTTTAAAAATACAAATGAATCGTTTGGTGTACAAGATGAGCTACCGAAGAGTGATTTAGGATGCAGATTGATGGAACTAGAAAAAAAAATTAACACCCTCTTTAACGATCAAAGGCCTGTAGTGCACCCTAACAGACCTGAGTATGTTTAAATTTTCCTCAAGTAATCTAAAATTTAAAAATATTACCAGTTTAAATGATAAACCCTTAGTATCATATGATGGAGGTGCTCCCACTATCAAGGAATTAAAGAACAACTCAGTACCCAAAGATCTAGATGCAGAAAACAAGTAGGTTTTAGTTTAATGTAAACTCGGTGTTAGTAGATACGAAGAGCTAAAAAAACGTCTACACCAGATAACTGAAGCAGACAAACGTCTTAGTCTTATAGAAGAAGAATACAATAAGCTAAAGAATGTTCAAAGTCCGTATGCGTTAGACCACTCAAATCAAACAAATCAGGGTCTCCGTAAACTTTTGTTGAGTTCATGGAAGTCTGCAAAGAACGAGGTGGAATACTCTAAGCAAAATATAAAGGACAATTACAGAAAAGAGTTAGAGCTACAGATTGCTGAGGCGGAAAAAAAGCGTTCATATGAGAAAGCGGAGAGTATAAAAGGTGCTACTATGTGCTCTATTCCCACTTATGAATATAAAAATTCAGAAATTGAATCAAATAAAACAAATCCGAATGAGGCACAGTTAAATTCGACAGAATGTTTGTATTTTGATGTAGGACAAAGAGATTTGCTCGCAATACACACATCAACTCAATTTCCACCCTCTGGAAGGTTGACTGCTAGTGTCAGTAGTAGCGATAAGATGAATACAGTGGAAAACCAAAATGACCCAAAATTTAAAAAAATGCAATATGCTGAGGAGTTGAAAAAACAAATTGAGGAGGCAAGGGCAAAGAAAGCTAAGCAGAAAGAGGAGGACGAAGAATATAATAGAAAGATCGAGGAGCAAAACTGCAACGTTGACTTATCGAGGGAAATCCATCTTCCTCAACAAAACATGCCAAACTCTATCAACTCCGAACAGTTTTCTGACCAACAGATGCGTACCGGATTAGATGTATCGAAAGATATCTACTTTGAAGCTTCAGATAGAACTTCAGCAAATCCCGAACCCAATTTTGCCAGAGGTGGACATGGGATATTTGGCAGCCCATTAACGGAGGTGCAGAAAAACAATCTCCAAAAGTACAAAAAAGAACTGGCTCAGCAGATAGCGGAGAAACGTCAGTTTATGGAGCTTAAGAAACAAAAGGAAGTCGAGCTTGAACAACGCGAAATGGAAAGGATTAGAGCAGAACGGTTGAAAATGCAGAAAGAGTTCGAAACGGAACAAGAACGAAGGCAAAATAAAGTTGAGAAAGATACTCAACAATTGGGCGAAAAAAGTAGTGAGTATAAATTAAAACGCAAAGAACAGCATACTGCAGATAAAACAAAGCCTATCGAGATGAGGAATACTAGGTGCAAACGTCCATCAAAAAATATAAAGTCACCAACATGCAGTCCTAAAATCCTAATAGGACCACAAGCCAGCAAACTAAATCACTTGAAGCAGTTTGGTAGTGAGACATCTGATAAACACAGCAGTGAAAAGACGCAGTCAATATTGAAACAGTTAAACGCACTAAAAGCCCAACTAGACAGGGAAAAATCCAAAACTGAGTCGGTGTATTACCAACAGAAACATACTTGCGGTTATAACAAAGAACTTATAGAGGTTGGCACATGTAAACAACGATCTCGACCTCGAATAAACATAAAAGCTGTAGAATTATTCCAAGATGCTTCAATTAATAACAAAAATAACACTCATAGTTCAGCGGGGCAAATATCTGGTCATGTTCAAAACATTCAGCCAGAGAGTTCGTTGGAAGAGCCTTACAGAGAAGATTTAAGAGATCTAGACAGGAAACAGATGGCTCTCTTGAGAAAGCAAAACAATCATCTCCAAGAATTGAGAATGGAACTATTGCAAAACATTAAGAATAAGAGCAGAGCTCACTCAATAAGGGAGAAAAATGTTCAAAACTGTGAAACATCCGAGATGCGAAACCCAATGTTAGATGAGAATGACTCGCTAATTAAACCTCAAGATGAGTCAAATGAGATGAAACACTTAAATCCTTCGTCTAACGAGTTTATTGATTTGAGTCAAATCGCAGAAAAAAATAAGCAGCGTTTATTAAGACTGGATGCGATCCAGCTATTAACTGAAGTAAGTGACGATCCTGAATCAGTTTTACAGCGTTTTGTTGGTGAGCATGACAGAATGTTTTCAAGTGAACACAAAAATAACATCTTTTAAGTATTTCAACTCGACTTTCCGTTCTTCATTCAAACTAACATAGTTTATAGAGTATACGTAAGCCATATATCTGTAATATATTTTTGAGGAAAATGTATGTAAGTACATTTCATTAATTATTCATGTTTTGAGATTATTTCAGGCATTTTATAAAAGATATTATTGTTTAAAATCTATGAATTTATTCTGTCTCATAACCGGTTCTAAGATTCAAGGAAATATTCATCACTAGAACTGCAAAAATATGGTCATACAAAAATGACTGTCTGAACACCCTTCTTATTCATACCACTGAAAACATTCGGTATTGGAGTGAAGAATAATTAATATATAATTTAATGCGTAATTTATAATGACAAGTGCATTTTGCAAAACTTGTAAAATTTGTAATAACTGGACAACAAAGGTTGTTCATAGCCTTTATAGTCTAAACCAGCTTAAATAAAAACGTTACGGTTCATATAAGTGAAATACTGAATAATTTAGTAGTTTCATAAGATATGAACTCAAGTAACTTTATTGTCCAGATCATATAAGAAGAGAATGAAATTGAGGGGAACTTACTAAGGTAAAGCACTAAATTATTGTTGAAAAGGGAAAAGAGAATTACTGTAATGTCCAATCAGTTCATATGCAAACAAATTACAGAGTTCTCTTTATTTATAGTAAAACAGCAGTTAATTTTTTAGGTGACAGCTTGGAAAGTTATGAGACCACTAAACCAAATATTAGTAATCCAACTTTCGGTAATGCTATCTAGAAGTGCACTATAATTACTTTTACAAATCAAGTTTCACAGCAGTATAGTGATACAAGACGGGAAACTGTGGGGTGATTAACTTCCACACCAGCAAGCATTGCACATCAACGTAGGCCGCGGTCGTGTACGCCCAATAAATGACCAAACCATCTCATTCGAAGAAAACTGATTACATTGCAAACCGACTTTTCATCGTTAACTAACACTCTGCGTTCAGCCTCAGTCACGCTAACTCGGCATAAGAGAAAAATGCTCTGAAGGCATCAATGAGAAAATATTAGTAAGGTATCTGTTTATAATGACCACATTTCGCCTACATCATGTAAAGCAGAACCCGATGTTGTTGGCTGTGCTTGCCCCCTGATTAGCAGACATATCTCTCCTGCAGTTAGTTCCCTTTATGAATTTAAATAAAGATAGGACAAATATTGATGCAGAATAATATGAATTCATTATATTTCGTGGTTTCTCATCAGCTGCTTACAACCAAATATGCATTAGTTTTAGCATTAGGGTAATAAATAGAATGGAACAACTGACATAAGGGAATGTAAAGGATTGGAATAACAAAAGTCATCGATGATAAATGTATATGTATATATATATCTATGGTCAAGGAAAGGTCAGAGGTTATTAGGTATTAAGATAAAGGGTGGCGTAATAGTTGAGTGGAGTTAAGAGACAGATAAAATCAAAATGTGATTATGTTAGAGGTAGTTGAAAACAATTAGGGTGGGATTACGTAATGATTGAATAATTTATAGACGTAGTTGAAAACAATTAGGGTGGGTTACGTAATAATTGAATAAGATTTGGATAGTTCATATAATTAGGAGAGACAAATGAGCGGAAATGTGTGAGAGAAAGGGTGGTTTAAGAATTGGGTTAATATTCAGTTGTTTTTTATTATTATTTTTATAACAGATAAAAATATGCTTTAGCTATCTTGAGTTTTCTTTGGAAAATTCACAGAAATTAAGAGTTTGTTTGAGATACTCATTATTTCGGATGCAGGAAACTGAAGTATAGCTTATAGGAATAATCTAACCACCCCAATTACGTAAACGCATTAAAATTAGGATTATAGAGAGTAGATGATGGTATTTTTAAATGTGAGGTTAAGAGTAACGACACGAAAAATAAACCGAGTTTAATTGTCAATAGAAAGCAACATAATTGTCAATCATATACAAGTAAGGAATGGCATTTAGATCAAACTCAGAGGAGGGTAAAAATTGAAGACATACAACATACACATTAATCTCAAGATACATCATTCACAGTCTTGCGCTAAAGAATACGGTTATCTTTTACACCCTAAAAATGAAGTATTGTCCACCCGACACAACCCAGACTAATGACCAATGAATTTCAAAGCTGGTAGCATTTCACTGTCCGCCTTCGCAGTTTCTTAAACTTGACTACCGTGTTTATGATCGCAAATGATTTACTACCTTTGTTTGGTGATCCACGCCATTCGGTTGTTAGGTCATGTGAGAGGAATGCTTGTAATGGAAATATGATCGAATAATTTGAGTGCATATGTATCTTCAACATACAAAATCTATATTTTACAGCCATGAGAAGCACAATCTGGACTGCTGTGAGACAAATACCTTCGAAATACGGACAAAACATTTCAGACACATATAGCAGTAATCGAGAAGTTCGTGCATCTGGGTAGCTACATAATTGTTGGTGGTCACGTGGGTGATAAGACCGATCCACGTACAGTGAAAGCCAGAGCAGCTTATGCCAATTTGTGCCATCTTCGGCTCCTTCGTGATGTTACTCTAGATGTAGATGGTCAGGTCTACTAAGTCTCAGTAAAAGCAGTTTTAGTCTACGCTTTTGAAACCTGGTTTTTCCGAGTTGAGGATGTTAGACGACTCTGTGTTTGATGCAACAGTGGCCAGGAATGTTATCAGACATGGCTCAGAATAAAAGCCAGTTGCTATCCTGGTGTAACCTTCTTCATAAAAGTGAACGTAAATTCCTTAACTGCAAGAATTCTTTGTAGTTGTATTTCTACAAAATGAACTGCTTCTCCCATCATTATTATTTCGCCCTCATACACTAATCTCTGTTCATTACTGCTGTTCTTTTATTATGCTCACCCTCCGTTCTCCATCTCTCGACAACCTCATCGCTATTGTTTGGCGCATATGTATTCGGTGCCCCCTTCTACTAATAATTGTGTTCAAATAAATGAATATGCACCACATGAGACTATATGGCTAGACTGACTATTGAAACAGACTAGTGTTGAAGCTATATTTGTGTTTGGGGAGAAAATACATCTCGATTCACAGTCAGCTAACTGAGGAGCTCAAGGAATCCTTCTAAAACATATGCGAGCGAACACTTAAGGCCTACGGGAAGGAAGATGTATCTAATTCTTGATATTTTCAGAAAAACGGCATCTTCAGCAAACAAAACTATGTTAATTAAATACTTCAAGTAAATGAGAGTCTCTCAGTTGGAGACCAATAACTGTAAATTCAGATGAAGAGTTTTCTTAAGAAGCATATCAAACATATTTAAATAGCGAGTAACTAATCTCAATAAACTTGATATATACTATTTGACATAAGCCTAGTGAGATGAAAGCCCACTACAAAACCAATAATATCTGGGAGAAAATCGTTCAGTAACTCGATATATTTATTTGATATGAAACTCACTGAATCCATGTCGTTTGCCTTGAACTCTATCTTAGCATCATACTCTTTAAACTAGTTTCTTCGCAGGCGTTATGAACTGAGATAAATGGTCATCAGGAAAATCCCAAATGAATTACATCCAGTTCATAAAAATTAGTTATTATTCAATATAATTGATGAGACGGCGATAAAATCCTTAAAAATTTTGAGGTTAAATTGCCATGATCTGTTGCAGCGGCCTGCTTTGCATCTATTATAGTTTACTTCACCAATATCAGGTACCAATTTTTTATTCAGATTGATAGTGAACAGTAAAATAATAGAAAGTAACAATGGAGGGTTGCTGGGAATGTCATTCAGTTTTTAAACAATACATCAGTGTCTACACAAATGCAGCTAAATTTACCTAATTAGGAAGCCACAACGCATTTCAATTAAAAGAAGAGATAAGGCTTTGCAAATTTATTTTATTTGAATACATAAATGTTACTACAAACAGGGACTAAAACAAATATGCGCCGCACGTATAAGTGAGTGAAATCGTGAAAGATGAGGGAGAGTAAATATAATAAAAAATTAATTGTTAAATAGGTAAAAAATGAGTGAGCAAGAGCAGCAAATAATGCAAGAAACAATTATAATACTTAAAAAATTTAATTTCATCCGGTACATTATAAACTAACCATCTTACCGTTACGTTATAAAATCGACGAGGAACTGTGAGCATGCATATCCAGGCTAAAATTAAAAAATAATTCCAACTAATTGATTGTCCGAAGTGACAATGAGAAATAAGAGGCAGAAATGATACTAGTTCATCAACCACGTATAAGATATCGTACTGTTTCACGATGACTGACGTGTAGTTGGAACTAGTATTAGTTATATATGCATTAAAAAAATATTTCCTCCGCTAAAATTTGTTGGTAATTCAGTGATCTCTTAGATAGCATTCTCAACGACCACAGTATTTCCTTGAACACATCACTTATCACGATTGTGCCGATAAGCTAAAATTAAGTTAGTATTCTCATACTAAGCACACTATATGCAGTCGTAAGCAAGCAAAAGTGATGATTGTGTACATACATAGAGACACATTCCAAACTTCCTATTTCCCCAGAACCAATCAAATATCTCGAGTATTCAATGGACCATCTCAAGGTCATTAATGTCCATTCAGCAACATCTTAAGCTGATTCCTAATTAGTTGGTTTTGTCTTGGTGATTTAAACGCTAGACTTTAAAACAGTGGCTAACGCATGAGAGTCCTGTTACATCAACTGGCGCAAGAATGACACGCAAAATCGTGAAGCGTTCCATATTTTTCCTGACCGTTGCTGCTACCTTGACGTGGTGGTCGGGCTTGCCTATCGTGATGATCCAATCGAGCTATGCTGGCTGGAACAATCGTTCCTCAAGGTCCTACCATGCCAGACAGGTCGGTTGAAGAGCGGTGAGACTAAAAGCAGCAATCCCAAGGTCCGAAGGCGAAGTCGTACTGCTGAATGTACAGAGGTGTGAAAGCAGTAAGGTGTTTCCTTCAGACAACCAGCATGACAGCGATGCTGCCTTCCCACAAGGAGGGGTGGGGTTAGAAAAGGTCGACCCTAAAAATGCACACCTCGCCTTATCCCACAGATTTCCGTCTCCGGCGGTAAGGACTTTTGAAGAACGGAGCTAACACGTCAAAAATCCCCCACAAAAAGGCCGTGCGTGACCGGCCTCAAGCAGATGTCCCTTGGGCACTGCGGTCACGCTCCCAGGTCGTTAAGACCAACACTAATCCAACTTCTTTTTCAGGTCCCTCAAGAAATACCCTTCCACGGTGTGGGCAGCCGGGAAGTGATACTAGCCCTCATACCCTTAACTGCACACAAGATCAAGTTGGTCGCTTTCAAATCCTTCCTACACCTAATAACTCTGTTATCTCCACGACTAACCCTTCCCACGTCCTTTTATCACCTCGCACCGCTAGGGCAAACGATTCGAGTACACAGAACGTTATTCCTGGTCTCCTGAAACCACGCCCTAAACTACATATAGGACAACAGGCTTCCTTAGCTAGGACTCTAGAATCTTACACCATCGATGTGTGCTGCGTCTCCGAAACGCGCATACAAGATCCGAGTAGTGTCATTCATTTGACCGCACCTAATCAAAATAAAGTTTCATCTCGATACACGCTCCGCGTATCTGGAAGCCCTGACGCTGCTTCCCGTGGCTTCGCTGGAGTAGGTATAGCATTAAGTCCTAGGGCAGAACTAGCTCTTTTAGACTGGATCCCAGTAGACAGTCGTCTATGCGCTGTCCGACTAAACGGATCAGTAAGGACCCGGAAAGATAGGGAAACTCGTCGTTGCCTCTTCGTCGTCTCTGCCTACTCTCCCACTGACTGCAGCTCAGATGATATAAAAGATGAGTTCTACAGGAAACTTTCTGACCTTCTCCGAGAAGCTAGGCGTTCTGATGTAGTAATAGTAGCAGGTGACTTTAATGCTCAAGTAGGTAAACTAAGTGAAAGGGAAAAACACCTGGGTGGATCTTATGGTGTCATGGCGAAAAGAACAGATAATGGCGACCGTCTGTTGCAGCTGTGCTCAGATAACCGCCTATTTCTTGCAAATACTAACTTTAAGCATAAGGAAAAACATCTTTTGACATGGCGACCCCCGAATTCGTCTCAACGTTGGACCCAACTAGATCACATCGCTATCAGCCACCGATGGAGGGGCTCGATAGAA